TCTTCAACCCGAAAAGGTCCAGCTAGCTCACCTTCAATAATACCAGCCCATACCAGTCCCCCACCTCCACCTTGTTGGCGCCTTGAGTAGCTCTGTGCCCATCACTGATCCAGCCACAGGCCCTTTCATCTGGTCTGTCAAGAGCCACTCTCATCTCATCAGTCCCTAAAACCTTTGGAAAATATTCAGCTATGTCTTGGCCCAGTCTTGCCGTTTCAACCTGTGTGTCTTGTTCAGTGGTGGTCGGGTTTCAGCCTTCCTCACCTTGGCCGTGTCTCTGAGCACTCAACACCTTGTACCTCTGGGCACTCCAGGTGGGTTGCAGTTCTGGAAGATGACAGCGCTGGAGGAGGATGGGTTCCTGGTAGTCTCACATTTGATTCTTCTCAAATCTTTGGCAGTTAATTTGCGTCTTTTTCTCAACACATTTCTTGCGGCAACAAAACGTTAGATCCCACTCCAATATCTTAACAAGAGTGCTGCATCCCTCTGAAAGACTTTTTACAACTTTTGACTTATCAGAGTCAGTTAAATCTCTTTTTTCGCCCATTATGCCTGAGGAAAAGAAGCTGCCTAATAATTATGCACATCTTGATATAGGGTGTTGATCTCCTTAGTTGACACCCTCCCTCAATACTCAAATACAGATCACCTGAAAGGGCTTGCATCCACTAAGCATTCCCGTTTATACAGCTTGGAGGTAGAAAAATGCATAAAAATGATGATATGGTTTAACTTAGTCACTTGCCAAATAATTGTGCACACAGTGCAATTCATCAGAGATTCTATTCTGAATCTATTAAATTCCGCAAAGAATGTATTTGAAGGAATGAAAATCAGATTTTCTCTTAGCAATATAAAAAGATTGTGTCAGGGCTGCTTCACTTAATAACCAAAAAAGAAACTCCATTTTGCAGAATTAAGAGTACTTTTACTGGTTATAAATAAATAGAAGCTAAGCAAAGCTGGATATGAGATAAAAGCATATCGATGTATGACCCATTCCCCTCACCTTGGTAATCCCAGCTCATAATCCAACCCAATTACTTCAAAGGTGTCATGTGGGAGACATCTTCAAAAATCATCATCAGGTTGGTATGCCGGACAGTTGGCCTTGGCGGGAAACTCCTCTCCCCGCTACATGCGCAGTAGATAGTGAGAACAACTCCCTTCTTACAATCTCTCCTGTACAGAATATTTCCCACACCCAAATAGCATCCCCCCACTCCCCGTTTCAATGGCATCTGAAAAGCAAGCAGCAAAACAGAGGCTGACAGATTGACTCATGATTTGGTTTTGCAAGCTGCTGGCATTATTTTGAGAAAAAGATGGAAAAGTGTGTCAAGAAACCTCTGAAACAGCTGTGAATCGCAAACAGAATTATAAATAAATTTCCCATTTCTTCAAATAATTTCTGAAGCATATCTGATATGATTATTTTTTTCTGAAGATTGCTCTAGAAAGCCCCTCCTTGCCATTTTTCTAGTATTGTATATTATAAACCAAAGAAGAAAGTATTTCAAGCAAGCAAAAGTAAAATACAAGCCTGCCCCACTTTTTTTCCTTTTATCTTTGTGTGGCTTTAACAATTTTCTTTTAGTATATCTCTGTAAGCTACAACAACATTACATCTCCAAGTCTAGTTCATTAGCTTTTTTGTCATGTGGACTCCATGTAGAATCTTTAACAGGAAACAAAGTATTGCCAAGAAGGTCTGGTCTCTTTAACTGGCTTGGAGCAAATTTATACCAAAGCATTTTTGTTAAAGGTAAAAATTATAAAAATAAGGGGTTTTTTTTGGGGGGGGGGGAGACTACACCTCATCCATTTAAAAATCAAAGTGTCTTTCGCTTTTTTTTCTTTTTTTCTAATCCCAAAATAAGGTTTAGCTCATTGCAAGGAATCTTATCTTTGCCAAAAAATAAATAAATCTCTACCTGTAGATTAATTACTTCCCAGATTGATGAAGAAATGAGGAAGGTGGGGCTTAATGCCCTATATAGGTTAAATCACAATTAAGAGCACAGATGGAATCCTGGAACTTCCAGCAGCTCAATTTTCAAACCCTCTGCAAAACTTCTGCAGTTTACTCATGAGGGGCTGCTGTCCAGAGTGCAATTTATTATACAATTGATCTGACAAGATCACATTAACCAGAAAGCACCTTCCAGACAATGCTCACGGCTCCTTCAAAGATGTCAGCCTGCCATAATTTCCCACCAGATGCCCTGAAAACCAAGTGGAATTTCCTTGCGGTTGGTTCATAGTTCAGGAGAATGAACGGGAGAAAATATCAACATGAGTAGTCATAATCGACTCTAGACTTGAAGACTTTCCACCTGAAGAATTCAGCAAAGACCTGGTCATAATGGTCTTGAGTGTTAAAGCAAATGGGACCTATTGCAATTGGCAGATCTATTTGAAAAACAAAGCTTCTCTCCTTCTCTCCAGGTCAGAGGACCCTCCATCACCAGAGCGAGGACCTGGACACCGTCATCTTAGTCAATCCTGACGAGTGGAGCGCTGTGTCAGAGGTAAAAACATAGAAGGCCAGCATGTCTGGTTTTGTCACAGTTGTTGCAATGGAACTGTACAATGGCCTGTCAAATATGAGCTAAAATGTGTAAATGTCTTGAGCCATTCCTCAAAATTGTGTGCTTAACTACGGCATCCAGGCCCTGCTTTCTAAAAAGTAAGCTGACCTCCTGCTCTTCCTCTTTATTTAACTGCAGTGTATTGATTCTCCTTAACACTGTTGGGTGAATATGAGTCCAAAAACATCACAGAGCTTGGCAGGTGTTTCTAAACCTTGGGGAAGGTGGGGCACTTCTGTTATAAAGTTCTGAAAACCCAGAAGTCATGAATAGGAAGCTGAAATCCATCTCTGATATGAACAGGTCCGTTCTTTGATATGTGGCCCTTCTGCCCACAAGCTGCTAGTCCTGTGTGGGCAAACCTCTGACCAGGGAGGTGATTTGATTCTGCAGACTGGGACTTTCACCTACCAGAAACTCACCGGCATATTTGCAGATCCAGAGGTAAGCTTCATGAGTGGGTAAACTTGGATTCCAATTGAATCAGCTGGCTTTGTTCCCTTGCCACTAGTTCCTCCTACCTTGAATTTAATTTTGGGAGTCTAGTAAATTTTGTCTTAAGCCATAAGCTACCTTCAGCACTAGCAATTTGAGTTGTTGCGCTGGAGACATTTTTATATGGAGACTCGCCACATGGCATTAATTCAGAAACATTCAGCATGTTTTCCATCATCTGAACTGTATAATTATATATTCCAGAGATCTTAGATACTTTCTTAGACTCTTTAAAAATTCCTCTCTAGTACCTGCTCTTCTAGTCAATATAATGATTAAATAGCATCTTTATGTGTATAATTCATATAAATGTAACATAAATATATGTCTATATTTCATATAAATTTAATAAATAAACATGTTTCTACTAAAAATAGTTGTAGGTTATCCAGGAGTAACAGACGGATCTATAGATTATTGATCGATTGTGTAGTATTTTTTTTAATTAAGATGAATTTGCATAGTATTCACTAAAATAATTTTTGAACTTAATTAAGAAGATTTCATTATTATAACTTGTTTTAAACTCTTGTAGGTCACCCAGCTTCTCAGTAATACCAATCCAGCTTCTAAAACCTCCCTCACCATATCGTGCTTGGGAGAAGGAGATTGGAGAAATCTTCGACACTCCAGTTTCCAAGACCTTTTTTGCCTGAGAGTTAATCCTGATTCAGTCCTGCCTGAGATGGATGGGATATCTGAATTTGCTGAATATGTCTCCGAGACAGTGGATGTCCCATCCCCCTTTGATCTTCTGGAACCCCCAAACTCGGGGGGGTTTCTAAAGCTCTCCAAGCCCTGCTGCTACATATTCCCAGGAGGAAGGGGGGACTCTGCTCTCTTTGCTGTCAATGGATTCAACATTCTGGTTGATGGTGGCTCAGACAGGAAGTCCTGTTTCTGGAAACTGGTCCGACATCTGGATAGGATTGACTCAATTCTCCTGACCCATATTGGAGCTGACAATCTCCCTGGTATTAATGGACTCTTGCAGAGGAAGATTGCTGAGCAGGAAGAAGAGCAGTCACAGGGATCCACTAACTACAGTGACTGGATAAAAAACCTTCTGTCCCCAGAGCTTGGGGTGGTTTTCTTCAATGTTCCTGAGAAGCTTCGAATGCCAGAGTCATCCATGAAAGTTAAAAGAAGCATTGCAGAAGCCAGCCTGACCCTGCAGTACCTCAACAGGCTAAGCATCAAGCCAGAGCCTCTCTACAGAGTGGTCACCAATACTGTTGAGCCAATCACTCTGTTCCACAAAATGGGTGTTGGGAAATTGGATATGTACATCTTGAACCCCGTCAAAGAGAGCAAGGAGATGCAGTTTCTCATGCAGAAGTGGACTGGAAACAGTAAAGCCAAGACAGGCATTATCCTTAGCAATGGGAAAGAAGGGGAGATTTCGGTTCCCTATCTAACATCCATCACAGCCCTTGTAGTGTGGCTTCCTGCAGGACCAACAGAAAAAATTATACGAGTTTTGTTTCCAGGAAATGCACCACAAAATAAGATTTTGGAAGGTCTTGAGAAACTCAAGCATCTTGATTTTCTGAAGTATCCTGTAGCTACCCAGAAAGATATGGCTTCTGTCACACCCTCTTCTGTGCTTAAACAGTCCAAGATTAAACAACGGACAGACAGTAAAGAGAGCCTCAAATTATCCCTTAAGCCGCCTACAACAAAGATAGTTACTGAAGAGGGCTCTAAAGAGATGAAGATGGAGACAGTAAAAGAGGCTAAAACTGAGAGAAAGGGAAAAGAGCATTCTGAAATGCTTCAAGAGAAATTGGTTAAAACAGAGAAAGTAAAAATTGACTCCAGCGATGCCCTTAAAGCTGAGAAAAGAAAACTTGCCAAAGACAAAGTTGGCAAAAAACATCTGAAAGAGAAAATTTCTAAACTGGAAGAAAAGAGAGACAAAGAAAAGAAAGATGTTAAAAAGGAGAAGAGGGAGATTAAAAAAGATGATGGGAAAAAAGAAGAAAGGAAAGATTCAAGGAAAGATGAAAAAAAGAAAGAAGCTAAATCAGAGTTGAAAAAAATTTCTAAGCCAGACTTGAAGGCATTTACCCCTGAAGTAAGGAAGACTTTATACAAGGCAAAAGTTCCCAGTAGAATTAAAACTGATAAAGTTCGTACTAAAAGTGAAAAGTGCACCACTGGAGAACAGAAGCCTCCAGCTGTTCCAAAAAACCAGCAGCAGCCTCAAGGCCCACCATTTATAGCTGAGGAGAGGCTTGTGATATCTTCCCCAGAGGACCTGACCAAGGATTTTGAGGAGCTGAGTTGTGAAGAGCCAAAAGAACCTCATCCTGCCTCTGCTCCTTTAGTGGCAGAGGCAGTCTCCAAGCATACGGAAAGGCAGGATCCCTGTGACCTAGCTGCTGAAAAGGGGGTGCTGATATCCAAAGGGACCAGTAGTTCAGGATTTCCTTCTCTGGCCATGCCAGGGGAGGAGATGGTTTTCCCAGAAGGTGAGGTGGTAGAAGCAGGCAAATCATCTGAAAAACCCAATGAAAGAGCAACCCTAGCAGAGCCTCTTGGGCAAGAACTGGATGAGAACATGAGAAGGAGTGTTGGAGAATTTCCAGGAAAAGGGAAAGATCAGATACTATCACATAGGGAAGAAAAAACTGCTGCTTCAGGAAGGGATTGGGTGTCCGCAAGAGAAGACGCAAGCTTGAAAAAGAAAGATGTGTTTAAAAAGGCAGAGCTGGAATGGACATTAGAAGATGATGTAAAGGCAAAAGATGAAGAGTTAGTAAAGAAAGAGCTTTCTCAAGTTCAGCTGCCTCAAGACCCATCTTTGCTTTCTGATGGGAAAGGAAAAGAACACAAGACAGAAAGAGTGAACTCAAGCAAAGTACCTGGGAAGTCACCAGGGATAAGGGAAAGGGAGGACTCTCATTTGGGAGGCATGCCTTTCCCATCAGGAGAACATATTTCCTACATCCAAGACGAAACCATCCCCGGCTACTCAGAGACAGAACAGACCATCTCGGATGAGGAGATCCATGATGAGCAAGAGGAGAAGATGGCACACTTCAAGCCAGACATTGGCAGTTATGACATTGCAGGATCAGATCAGACAGACACCTTTGAAGTTGCCAATGGGATCCAGACTCTTACAGCACCTGAAGTTGCCAAAGGACAGGAACCTGAAATCCTTGCCTATCCTACAAATCTTGTGGCAGCCCCTTTGGCAGAAGAGGAGCATGTCTCTTCAGCAACATCCATTACAGAATGTGACAAACTTTCCTCCTTTGCCACTTCTGTCGCTGAAGACCAATCAGTTGCATCAATCACAGCGCCACAGACAGAAGAAACAGGCAAAAGTTCTTTCCTGTTGGATACAGTGAACAGCATACCTTCCTCTCGAACAGAGGTCACCCAAGGCCTAGATTACGTACCTTCTGCTGGTACTATTTCTCCCACATCTTCCCTAGAAGAGGACAAAGGCTTTAAGTCTCCTCCTCCAGAAGACTTCCATAGTCAAATCGAAAATGAGCAGAAACTTGAAGCCTGCAAGAAAGTTTTACAGCAGCAGCAGCAAGAAATCTCACACTTTGAGAGGCCTTGGCAAGCAGAAGAACATTATGATGCCCTACTGTTTTTACAACAAGGGCCCCTGGGAGATAGTTCCGGTGATATATCTATGGAAGGACCTCAAGAAACAACCCTGCTTTTGAGCGAAGCAAATGCACACTTGTTGCATGTACAACAAGGCTCTGGCGATGCTGAAGATCGCTGCATAAGCCCTGATGATAGCACAGTCAAGATGGCATCTCCCACTAGTGCAGGGCACACACCTTTTCATCAATCCCCTATAGAGGAAAAAATGGACTCCACAGAAGCAGAGATGTTTGAAAAGGCAGCAAAATCTCCTATAATGGGGATTGAAGTAGAAAGACCCAACAGAGCAATGAATGTATCCAGAACATTTGAAGGCGAGGGGAAGCATCATGAAATCAAGGAGATGTGCCTTCATGACATGCATGGCCTGGAAGCAGCAGCCATCCTGCGTGCAGGATTTTTATCTGCACCGAATGAAGTCAGGAGCCAGCATTTGGAGAAAGAGGAGCTAGCAATAAGCTTCTACCACAAACAAGAAACTATTGATATTTCTGACCTGGAGCTTCCCACTAAAGATAACCTTCTAGAGACCTTAAAAGATGCATCATCTAAAAATATTGGCACTGCCAAGGAAGCTTCCCATGAACATATTGTTAGGCCTGGGACTGAAGAGTTCTCTGCTTCAGAAATACCACCACCAAAAGGATGGGAAGCAATTTCAGACATATCTAGAGATGAAAAATCTTCACAAATCATTAATTTACCAGGGGAAGAAAAGGCATCTTCTTTTACAGATGAAATCCCTGGGAAGACATCATATTCTGATAATTTTATCACTGAAATATTTCAAGTGGGTTTGCATTTGACAGAAACTGGCTTAGAGCAAAAAGAGTCTGCTTCTTCAGAAGATAGTAAATTTGTTTTGAGTCTTCATGAAGAAACCCCTTCATATTTATTCAAAGAAGAAATTTCTCCAAGGGATGCTACACTTCTGCTTATGAAAGAGAGCCCTACTAAAGAAACATCATTGGGCATGCTTGGGGAACAAGTGTCTCCTAAAACTAAACACCAAGCTTCAGCAGAAGAGAGTCCAAGTACAGATGAAAGATCAGAAGCTGATATAAAAGAGGATCCATGCAGTTCCTCTTTAAATTTTCAGCAAAGTCCATTTCTAGATGCCACCATAATAAAGCCTTCAGCAGACCCTTTTCTGGAAAATGAAAGATCAGCTTCTTTAACAGAAAAACAAACTTGCAAGGAACTGTCTCCCAAACAAACATCTCCAGAATCTAAGTCCTCAAGCTTCACATCAGTGAGCCCAGTTTTAGATAGCAGTGCCTTGGAAGTTTCATCTGGAGAGAAAGAGCCTTGTCAATTTATAGGAAAGAAAGAGAAAATAAATGATCTATCTCCAAAAATAGAAAATCCTTATATGAGAGAAATAAATTACGAGAAGAAAGTGTGGTTTCCAGAGGTAATGAACAAAGTACCATGCAAAGAACAGCAAATGAAATATGACAAAGAAAAGGGAGAGTCTACATTTTTGGATGACAAGGTAGACATATCTACTAAGAAGGAAGAAAACATTTGCTCTCTGGAGAGTGAAGACATTCCCAAACAGGATAGTTTGGATGCTGAACATGGCTCCTTTCAGGGAGACCCTGCTAACGAGAAGGATGGCTTTTTATTTGTAGATGACAAGCCTACGTTTAAAGAAAAGCCAGCTCCCCAAGCACATCCCAATCAAGATATTTTGAATTCAGAGAAAGTTGAGCTTTGTAGTTTTGAAAATAGTCCCTCTTTTGAACTTGAAAATAAGCCAAAATCAAGTCTGGAATGGACTTTTTTGTCCTTTCCACACCAGGCTAAGATGCCCATTTCAGGGCAAGGAGAAGAAGAAGAACCTCTCCCTCAATCTAATCAAGTAATGGAGAAAGTGACCTCACACCCATCTTTTGACCCCATGAGTGAAGCTATGGAGTCCCAGGAAGGAAAGCAAAATGCTGATGAGAAATCACCTGATCACGCAGATGCCAGTAGAAAGCAGCCAAGAACTTCTGCAACTCTTCTGAATGCAGGGCCAGAGGAGAATAGACAGTTTTATCCTGACCAAGATTGCAGAGGAAGCAGAGATCTTGACATCCCTTCACAAGACACACACTCCTTTGGCCAAAGCAAATGCTCTATGTGGTCAGGTGCTCTGGACCCCTCCAGTTCTTTGGAGTCGCACGATTCCAATGCGAAGGCAGGTGAGAAAGGGCAAGAGAATGAAGAGAGGGAACCAACTCCCTACCCTCATGAAAAAACTTTCCAGTATGCTGATGTCTATAGGAGTGTGATGATGTCAGATGTTGGCCGTCCTGGAAAGGATGCAGTGACCAAGAGTACTCAAGCCTTGAGCCCTCAGAAGGAGGAGTTCCTCTACCCCATTTCCTCCAAAGAAGAAGATTCTTACCTCTCCACTCCTACTGAGAAAGAACTCTCATCCCCAAGTTCGCCAAAGGTTACAATGGAGCATTCCTTTAAGTATGCGGAGGTTACTGAGCAGTGTTTTCAGGATCCACATTCCATGATATCCACAGACACACAATCTAAAGAAAGCCCACCAGAAAGCCCAATGAACCTCCAACCTGCCTCCTCTTTGGGAGATACAACCTTCAGGGACATGTTTAAACAGAAAGATCTAATCATTTCCCCTGAAAAGATGAGCCCTTCAGATAGAAAACCCAGTAAGAAGCAGGAGTCCTCAATGGGTTTTCATGCCAAAGATATTTATTATGAGAAAGCTGAAAGAGAAGATAGCGCTAGTGACTCAGAGCTGGAGAAAGGTGCCAAGGAGAGGTCAGAAAAAGAATCAGGGTCTCCAATGGTAAAGCACAAAGAACTCTATACTGTGTCAGAGAAGGGTAACATCTCTGTCCCAGGACAAGAAATCTATGATGGGTCATTGGGAGAGGGAAGTCACTCCAAGAAAACAGCCAGTGGCAGCCTTGCAGATCTCAGCAGACAGGAAGGGGGCTCAAATATGTCCCAGGTGGTCATCGAACAATACTCCAAGGAGGAAGAGCAAAAGAGCCTCTTAGAAAAAGCCTGGGATGATGTTGACCCCAAAAGCTTTTCACCTGCAGCCTCTGCTAAAGACAAGGACTCCCCAAAGGGACCCGTCCTCCTTCCTAAAGGACTTGATTGTTCTTCCTCTGGATTTGAACTTTCCTGTCTGGAAAAGCATGAGCCATCCATTTTGTTCAGACATGAAGCCCGTTTCTCCTCCCACTTGGAACATAAATCTCTCATCTTAAACATGCCTGAACCTGCTTCTTCAGGGAAAGCCCAAGAAGATGAATACTTAGAGGTATCAAAAAAGGGGGATTCCCCCTTTGTAGAGCTATATGAAGAAGAAGGAAAGCTCCCTTTGTGGACATCTCCAGAGTATTCAATTCACAAACAGTCATCCAGCCCCACTGAGGAACCTTTCTCAGGGACCTCTCTCTCTGCAGGGCAGCCAACAGGTGGCAGCCCCTTCCCCAGCCTCCAATACATCTCGGAGGCCCAGAGCCCACACATCACCTCTCCACTGCTTTCAGAAGAGGCTGCTTTAGATGCGGTAGAGGATGTGGCCTCTGCCAGCACAAAGGCCAGGCAGCCATCAAAAGCCACTTGCACAGTTGGCTGTTGTCCACAGCCAGCAAGCCCCCAAGAATGGCCAGCAGCCGCCACTCCCCTTCCTAATGCCCTGGCCACTTCTCTTCATGATCAGCAGGAGGCAGGAGCGACAGTTAATGGCCCCACAGAAGTCAGCCTCAGTCCACTCACTTTCTATGATTCATCACCCATTTCAGAAAAATCTAGGTGGGTAGTGGAGGAGCAGGAGGAGGTTAGTGCAAGGCAGAGCCGTCCCCTGTCCCTGTTGAGCCCTTCCCAGGAGGACTTCCCAAATCCTCGGTTGAGCAGCCAAAGAGAGGAGCACGGGGAGACTTGCCAAGCAGTAGAACCAGGCTTCAAAGCCATATCTAACTGTGGCCAGAAAGCATATGAGCGTAAACAAAGAAAGGGTGAATTATCTCCATCATTCATCAACCCAAGCCCTCACGATTCATCAGAAGACAGTGAGTTTTCACAGGTTAAAGGGCTTATTTCAGTAAAAGGAAAGCCACATTCAGTTCCTGGTGGCCATAGACCAACTACTTCTGCTCTGGAAGAAACTCCTCCCACCTCTGCCAGTGATTCAGGGACTTCTCAGTCAGACTCAGATGTTCCTCCTGAAACAGAGGAATGCCCCTCAATTACAGCTGAGGCAGCCCTGGACTCAGATGAAGATACTGATTATCTCCCAGTAGACAAAGCTGCAGGCAGTTCCCAGCATGGCACAAAGTATGGCCAGGACCCACAACCTGCTTCCTTGCCAGACCCTCAGCCTCAGACTCCACATCCAGATGTCTGCATGATGGATCCTGAAATGTTGCTGATTGAGCAGAACATGAACAGACTTGACAAGATATCCAAGAAGGGCATGAAGGAGAAAAATAAAGCATTGAAGAAGCTACTGGGCAAGTCCAAGTCCTCCGCCCCATACCAAAAAGCTGATAAATCATTACTTAGTCCCATGAAGCAACCATCTGACAGGTCTTCAAAACCAGGGATAGCCAAGAAAGAGAAATTGCTCAAGCCACCCATGGAAGACCGAGAGGAGGGTTCTCGAAGCGCCCACACCAGCCCTGGCAAGAGCCTCATCAATGGTGTCAAAGCTGGCCCAGGTAAGAATGAACAGAGGTACAGATTGGAAAGGTTCGGATCTTCCAGAGGAATGATTATTTGGGCAGAGGAGCCCAAATATCATCAACCCTTTAGTGCTTCTGAAAGGTCACCCTCGTCATCAGGAGACTTTGAGGGGGCACAAGAATTAATACAATACACAGCAGAGAGTCTGGTCGATTCCTCCTTCCTTTATTAGCAATATAGGGGAGGTTACTACCAGTGGTGGGATTCAGCCAGTTCGCACTTATTCGGGAGAACCAGTTGGTAACTTTCTAAGCAATTCAGACAACTGGGTTTTGGAAGAAATCTTTTGTTTTTTCCCACTTTACAGGGCTAATCCTGTAAGGAAGGCAGGAAGGAAACATTCTGGTGTTGTTTCTAGCCTAATCTTTATTGCCCTGCTTACAGAAACTGCCTCTCCAGTTAACTCTTATTACCATTGTAACAACTAAGGTGAAGTGCCCATCGACCTGAGTGACATTGACACGTCCACATGATCACATGACCACCGAGCCCCACCTACCCAGCTGGTCATTAGGGCAGAGAACCGGTTGGTAAATTATTTGAATCCCACCACTGGTTATTACTTTCATTTTTATCCATAAAATGTTTTAGACAGAATTAAATTAATTACAGGGGCTAAATAAGCTATAGATGCCTCCTCCTTTTTCCATTGCTTTATCTGCCTTTCTGACTACTAATAGCAAAGCCCCAGTAAAACAATTAAAGGCTTTGTTTACGTATCCAAGAGTTTAAGTTCACTGTCACTCCCTACTGGATGCATGTGCAGCTTGCAATGTTGACAAAAATATGCATTGCAGTTTCTTAGCTCCCACTTAGAATTAAGTCAGGGAGCAGCAGCCTCAGCCTGGCAGGATGGGAAATCAGTCTCCTCAGCTTCTCATGAAAGCAATTTGTGTGAAAGAAATGCCCCTGGAGGTCCATCTTGGAGCACAGCAGAGTTCTCTGGACCCTGCTCAGGAGCGTGACGTTATCTGCTCCATCTCAGGATCTCCAGCCAACTTTTCTCCCCTTCCCTAGAACTCTAACAGATCGTTTGAAGTCTTCCCAGTTCTCCCTCCGTCCCCTACTTGCTAGTGCAGCCTCCCTTTCTCCCATACAGAAGTTGACATCTGTGAGAAACTCGTCTCTACTTCTGCTAGCTGCCAGCCTCAGTTAATGAAAAGGCTGTGCATTTGGCTCAGGACGTGGCAGGATGGCACCCAGGCTTCAGGAGTGCCATTCTATCATATACCCCCTCCATCTTATGAGGGGTTGGGGTCATTTTTCCCCCAGCCTTTGTTTCATTGATATCTGCATGGCAGGGGACATTCTTTGGCTCACTTCCAGATCCAGACAGAAAAATCAGCAACTTGGTACTATTTTCCTGATTAATGTTAACTGCAAACCTGTATGGTTGCAGAGTTAGCATTATTTTGTAAGCCTTCTCTTACAGTATTTCATCTTTTCTGATCAAACTGTGACTTCAAACCTTGCAACCGAATCCTCAGAGCCCACTTGAGCAATGAATTACTTCCGGTGTCCTTCTTATTTGTGCTCATTGACACCCATGGATACCATTCTCAACTCATGGCAGGTTGACCATTTCATTTCATTTTCATTTCATTTATTGAATTTATAGGCCTCCCAATTCCAGAGGACTCCGGGCGGCTTACAGAAATGAAAAATATTAAAAAAGGATTTAAACAATAAGATACAACAAGATTAAGAAGAAAACACAACCTGCACCCAATTAAAGGGGGGCTGGACCTC